AGACTTTGCCAGGCGCACTCGATTGCCTTTCTGGTCTATCTTGCGGGTCAAGCCCGCGAGGTCGCTCGCCCGCGGGCGACGGAGCATTCCACCTCCTTGCGCGCGCATGCTCAACGCAAATGATCTGCACGGCTTCGCGGGCGCAGAGCTGCGTACGACAATCCGAATAAGGGTTGAGTGGCGCAGATCGTTGAGGACTATAGTCGCGCCCTGGGTGGAAAGCCACGTGCCTGCTGCGAACGCACGAGCTGGAGCGGTAGCTGAAGCCTTCGTGGACGTGAACAGCATAATACGTCGACCAAGTGATGTGCTGCCGTTGTCGAGGTGCGCAGCTCCATGGAGGTAGCGCCACATGAATGAAATGGCATCAAGGATTGTAGTGATGACGAGGTGTCGGCATGTCGCGCTCTCGGTGGGGAACAACATTTATGTGTCGGCCTCCCTGAGCTGCCCACCAGTATTGGGCCATAGTCGCTGCGCATCCATGCGCAATGAAGGGTGAGGGGGGCCCTCTCCCAGTTTGCGTTGAGAGGGATCTCCCCGGGTGCTGGTTCCCACGTTGAGCGGCATCTCCAGGGGTGCTGGTTCAAGCCTGTTTTTCCGTTGAGCGGGATCAGCTTGCCCGGAACCGTGACCAAGAACAGCTCGAACCTGGACGGCCAGACGGGAGGGGGGAGAAAAGACAGGGAAGGAGGAGGGAGGGAAGAGGGAAGAAGGAAAAGGGAGGAGGAAGGGAGGAATGGAGGGAGGGAGGGAAGAAGACAGGGAGGAGCCAGCGCCTCGCCGGAGACAAGCGCCGTGGCTGAGACATCCCCACAATCTGCTCTGAGAGCACACGGGACCAAAGACAAGCCTGGGGGGCCGGAACAGGCAGACCGCCGGAGGCATCCCCACAGCCTGGCACGGAGCGCCCCTGGCGGCTCCGCCTTTGGGAGGGGGCCCACACGCCACGCCTGCCAGATCGCGGTGAGCACTGGACCACGAAGAGACAAAGGCCTGGGGAGTGTGGGGTGGGGGGTTTGGGGGGTTTGGGGGGGAGGGGAGGGGCGAAACAGGCAAACCGCTTGAGGCATCCTCACAGTCTGGACGCTACTGTTGGAGTGTCCCCACCCCTGGCGGCTCCACCTTGGGGGGCCCAAATGATACGCCTGCTACATCGCGGTGAGCATTGGACCGCGAAACGAAACAAACTTGAGGGAAAAACAGGCAAACCGCCTGAGGCATCCCCACAATCTATCTGGATGCGACTTTGGGAGTGTCCCCACCCCTGGCGGCTCCCCCTTGGGGTGCCCAACTGTCATGCCTCCTACATCGTGGTGAGCATTGGACCACAAAACATCAAAACACTCCAACTGCCATGACTGCTTTGTCCTGGTGACCACATGTGTGTGAGTCTTGTGATCAAATATGACCGTGAGTGGTCTGAGCGTGTGTGCTATGAGTGTGAGTACGTCTGCGTGTGAGTGAGTCTGGGTACGATCGAACCTGAGTGTGAGCGAGTCTGCGTATGAGTAAGTTTGACTCTGAGCGGGTCTGAGTAGGAGTGAGTCTGAGTACGATTGAGTCTGAGTGCGAACGAGGCTGAATATGAGTGAATATGATTGTGAATGAGTAAAGTATGATGAGCATGAGTATACGTATGAGCGAGTCTGAAAACAAGTGAGTCTGAGGGTGAGTGAGTCTAAGGGTGGATGAGTCTGAGTGCGAGTGAGTCTGAGTGCGAGTGGGTATGAGTGCGAGTGAGTCTGAGCATGAGCGAGTCTGAATACGAGTCTAAGTACGAGCGAGCCTGGATATGAACGAGTCTGAGTGCGAGCGCGCGAGTGAGTCTGAATATGAGTAGGTCTGCGCGAGCGAATCTCAATGCGACAGCGAACAAGTCTGAGCATGAGCGAATCTGCATGTGTGTGCCTGAGCGATCTGAATATAGGAGGGCCTGAATATAAGTAAGCCTGATTGTGCAGGGTGCCTCGTCTCAGGATATGGGGGACAGGGAGGAGAAGGAAGAGGAGGAGGAGAATGAGGAGGAGGAGAGGATGAAGGCGTGAGGAGTCCGATGCGTCTAAGTGATAACAGAGACCCCATCTCATTACATACATACTCAGGTGAAGAAGAAGAAGAAAGCGTACGACAGCATACAGCTTGATCCCACTCCGAAGCTTCAGGAGAAGCCAGGATCGAAACATTTCATCCACCCGAAGTCTCCCCCTCGTCCTTCTCGGGACCCCCAGCGGCCCCTTCTGGACACTCCGAACACACACACACACACACACACACACACACACACACACCAGGAACGCCCTCGGCGAGGCGAGGCTGCCGGAGGGCGCTCCGCAGCGAGAACACCTCGAAGAACCAACGGGATCTGCCGACCATGTCCTGGTCTTAGCTGCCCCGATACGCAACACGCAACACGTATCGTATTGATACGGAGCTCAACACGTAGGCTGAAAACGTAGGTCCGACACGATACACTCGCCAAAACGTGGTCCGATACGTGGAGCCAACATGCAACGTATTGACACGGACGTCTTGAACACGGGAAGTATTGCATTTCAAAAAGGGCGTATCGAGGCAACTAAGGTCCTGGTTGATCCCCTGGGTCCGCTCCCCAGCCACAGGGCTGAACCTAAACGGCGTTGTTCGTGTTCCTTTTGGTTTCGTTGTTCCTCGCTTTTGTCTTCGATTCGCCCTTGCCGCAAAACGACATCGAAACGAAGACGGCCCACGAAATTGCCAAAGACACCGTTTAGGTCCAGCCCTGCCCAGCCAGAGCAGGGAGGGAACGCAGGTATGAAAAAATACAATTCGTCTGAAGCTGGCACCCCGGGGAAACATTTCGGAGAGTCGCAGCTGCTGAAGGGCTCCCCTAGGAAAGCCTCCAGGAGCCAACGAAAACCTCCGAAGGCTTCCAGGTCGATCCCCTGGGACCCGCTCCCCAGCCAGAGGAGGGAGGGCCCGCAGGCAGCTCCTCCTCCTCTTCCTCCTCCTCCACCTCCTCCTCCTCCTCCTCCTCCTCCTCCTCCTCCTCCTCCTTCCACTCCCCCCCCAAGCGAACACTTCCAAACACTTCCCCTGACCGTGGGCGCCTGGGATCACGAGCGCAGAGGCCGCTGTGCCGCTGGCGAGCTCCCCGCAGCGCACGGCGTCGGCCGCGGCCGGGGGGGCGTGCTCGGCGGAGGCGGCGGCGGCGCAGCTCCTGCCGCCCAGCTGCGCGGCGAGGGGGGCGGGGGCGGGCAGGGTCGTCTCGGCCGCCTCTGCTCCCCCCCGGAAAGGGTCGGCCCGAGGGGGAGTGGGATGGGGAGGGAGAGGGGGGAGGGGCAAGGTCAATGGGGAGGGAGAGGGGGGCAGGACCGGGGGGGGGGGCAGGAGGAGGAGGAGAAGGGGGAAGAGGAACAGGAAGAGCAAGAGGAGCAGGAAGAGGAGAAGGAGGAGGAACTAGGAACTAGGAACTAGGAGCTAGGAACTAGGAACTAGACTAGAAGCTAGGAACTAGGAGGAGGCGAAGGAGACCTCTAGCTTCGAGGAGTGAGAGGAGGAGAAGGAGGAGGAGGAGGAAGAAGAAGACGAAGAAGAAGAAAAGAGCTCCGAACCGCTGGGTACTCCAAAAACCTGCCCACGGGCCCAGGCGGACGGCCCTGCCTTGGCCCATGGGGAGCCCCTGGGGTATCGGGACCAACGTCCTCTCGCCGGCTCGCAGGTCCCCTCCCTCCTCTGGCTGGGAAGCGGGCCCAGGGGATCGACCTGGAAGTTGTAGGATGATTGCGCTGGTGATTATAATGTTTGCTAGCCTCGGGGGGCCCTCCAGCAGCTCCGCCTAGAAAGAGCGCCCGCATCGGCCCACACGCTGCGAGCAAAGACCCGAGAAGACAAACGCAGGCCGTGAAGCACGAGGTTCAGGTGGCCTGGCAGCCAGCAGAGGGACGATGTGAAATGGCCACCGACACAAAACACAAGCACGGCCTCCCAATGGCCGACTTCGGAAACCTGGACCCTCAAAGCTGCCATCTGCTGGGCGCACACACATTGATTCCGCCGGCTTCCGCCGGCGGGCCCGCCGCCACTCTTCTGACGCCGGCGTCCGCCGACCTTCCGCCTCCTGCACCATGGCAGAGATGCCGACCCCTTCGATCCTCGAAGGCGAAGCCATGTCTGGAGCCCCACATCGCGGGCAGCAGTGGCAGCGGCAGCGGCAGCGGCAGCGGCAGCGGCAGCGGCAGCGGCAGCGGCAGCGGCAGCGGCAGCGGCAGCGGCAGCGGCAGCGGCAGCGGGCAGGCAGCAGGCGGCGGCGGCGGCTGCGGCGGCGGGCAGCGGCAGCGCACCGTGACCGTGGCGGCAGGACCAGCGGACCGGCCGCACCACCAGAGCTGCGGCAGCAGTACCCCCCGATCCCCGAAGCAACGAGCTGTTCACAGCGCCGAGCCTCCAAAGGTATCGACCCGTTCTGGGGGACGAGCTCTTCATCCTGAGTCTTTCTGTTGCGGTCCGTGGGCCCGGCGAGGGCCCCCAGAAGCCGAAAATCGAGAACTATAAATCATAAAAAACGTCCGTCGTGATTACGGTCAGGAACTTTTACATAGCGTGTCGCGGCGGCGTCCCCATCGACAGGCTGTGCCTTGCGAGTGGACAGCGTGTCGCTCTGCTCCGCGGGGCGGGATGCTCGGAGAGACTCGGGACGCCGACGCCTAGGAACTGTGAAGTAGAGATCGTGTCGCGCCGAAGCGTGGTGGGCCAGAACTGGCGGAGCGAAACGCAATCCAAAAGTTCCACACATTCACGACGCGAGGGGGTCTGGTTGTCGGGTCGTTACTCGGCTCTCCGGCGGCCGTTCGGGACGATCCAGGGACCCACGGAGCGCTCTCGGCGAGACGCAGCCGCTGGAAGGCATCCCGAAGCTGGAAAGCCGCCGAGGACCTTAGAAACCGCTCGAAAACATCGAACCTCGAAGCCCCTAAGGTCGGCATCATGGGTCTGGGTCTGCAGTACCGCCCCCCTCCCGCCACGCGAACGCCAGGTCGTTGCCCGCGGGGTCGACAGAGTCGCTGGCGTCCAGCTGCGCGCCGCAGCCTGGGCTCGCGCGCTCGGGGGCGATGAGCTCCGCCTGGGCGCGCGGTCTGCTCGGGGGAGGGAGGGCCCAGGAAAGCAGAGGAGGAGGAGGAGGAGGAGGAGGAGGAGGAGGAGGAGGAGGAGGAAGAGAAGGAGCAGGAGGAGGAAGAGGAGGAGGAGCAGGAGGAGGGAGGAGAAGGAGGAGGAGGAGGAAGAGGAAGAGGAGGGAAGGAGGGGAAGGGGAGGAGGGGGAGGAAGAGGGCGTTCGTATGTGATGTAGTGTAGCCTCACCGCGTTGTTCCAAGTCGGGCGCAGGAGCTGGAGCAATTGGCTCGCGTGCCTCGGAGAAGTACTGGTTCGGGAGGCCGTGCTCCAGAGCCAGAAGTTCCGGGAAGGGCTGGTTCGGGAAGCTTCGAAATACTGGGATCATCCCGCCGAGCTGGTCATAGTAGGACAGTAGGACAGTGTCGTCCTTTACTGGTTTTCCCAGTGGCCGGGATGTTTGGAAGGATATCAACTCATGTGTTTCTGGGTTGTGGTGTCGGAGAAAGCCTTCTTTGACAAGGAAAACGAATCTTCCCTCTGGAATCACAATGTTCTTGACACGATTTACATGGCAATGTTATCCGTCGGGATGTTTGGCGTATGTGGCCGTATCAGTATCGAGGTAGTCACCACACCAGCGCCCACCAGAGTGAATGTGGCATCCCATGAACAATCCCTCTCGTGTGGTCTCGTCGAATTTCGCTGCGGACTTGTTGATGTCTGGATTCCAGCATTTCCAAAGATCCGAATACCAAAAAGGGCAATGTGACCATGGCAGGGTTCTCCAATGTGGACTCCATATGATGTGTAGTCCTTGTATGCTTCCTGTGTGGCGGCAACTCCATGGCAAGGTCGAGTGGTAGAATTGCGGCCGCAGCGCCGTGCCTGCATAGCTTCTTTCCACCACTCGTGACCCAAGCCAGAACTGTGGAGCACCGCGCGGGTGCCCTATATAACGGAGTTGACTGCACGTTCGGCCATACCGTTGGCTTGTGGCCGATGTGGCATGCTGGTATCGTGTCGCCAGCCCAGAAGGCGGCATGCTTACTGTAACTCCCCCGAACTGCCGATATAAGCGCGATTCACTTCGTCAGTCGGGGCGAGAAACTCAAGAAAGGATGCCTTGGTAATTTCGGCGTCCTTGAGCTTCGCAAGAAATGCCATGATATCACCCGTAAACTTGTGCAGCACTACCAAGGCGTACTTGTCGCCATATCTATATGCGACGCCATCTGCTGCAAGGACAATGTGGTCGGCGGTCAGCGCTTCACCGAATCGCTTGGGCACGAAAGCCTCGTACCGAATGTCATCCGTAGTGGGAGCGGTTGGTGGGTTGGGTCGACGCTGGCGTCGGCATGGTGCGCTGTGCATTAAGATGCGCGCACAAAACACACAGTCGGGATGCTTGGGACTCTGAGTGATGTAGTGTGATGGTCGATGGGTTGACGTGGTCTGCCATGTAGCGTAGTGTCGCGATTCTGTAGCACAGATGCGTGTGTGCCCACCGGCACAACTGTGCCAGACTTCGCATCAGTCGGATTCATCGTGGATGCAGGTGTGTCCACTGGCGCCGCAGCACTATGCGCGAATGCAGGTGTGTCTACCAGCGCAATGGCACCATCCACGCAACATTTACACATGAAGGGAGACGAAATGTCATCGTTCCTCCGTCGTGCACGTCGTGACGTAGGTAGCGCGGCACACAAGTGCGGCGGCGAAATCTTTTGAAGGTTACTGAAGTCAAGCTCTGGGATGCGGGTAATGACGTTGACCCTGTACCATTGACCACGAGGGTCCTGTAGTAAGTAGCCGGACTGCGGATCCCAGATCGGCCTGAAGCCGTCCTCCTGTACCAGCTGTCCTACAGATTGTAACGATGGCCAATCGTCCACTGCTAATGCCGAACTGGATAGTCCAATGTGCGGTAACTAGAAGTGGATGTGCTCGATGGCGATTATGTCACCGTTAGCTGTTTCGAATATTTTCGTCCATGGTGCACGTCGGTAGTTTCACGCGGTCGCAGGTCCGCCTTATCTTAAATGTGGTGGGCGGGGGCGCTATCCAAGATCCACGTCCGTGACAACGCTGATGTGGACCGTGTCATTGTCTCAGACTCGGGCGCGGGCGTTGCCACCGACGCAGTATTGTTAGTCGGTGAAAGATCAGGCACCATGGTAAGTCTGGTGGTCTGCGCGAGCTCGTCATGCAAGTGATGCGCTTCGGTCTGGCAGTCACGTAGCGCTCGTGCGCTATCCTCCAACCACCATCTCTGGCAACGTGTCAGGTACGTGCACCTGTTCACCTTGATTGGTCAATGGTTCGTTGTACTTGTCCAGTCTGTGGATGACCGGATAAGCAATGCTGTCGACGTTCTTGAGGTCCAAACGTAGTTGCCGTAGTAGTGAGTCGGCTAGGAGAAGGAGCCGCTCGCGGGTCACATCTGCTCGGTCACGTCGCGTATTGCATCGTGTCGCTGATGGAGAGCGCATGCGATCACGGGTGGATGGTGATCGGCTGGGGCCGCGAGATGCGGATCGGCTGCCGTTTCTGTCACTCCTGGTGGGGGAGCGTCCAAAATGGTGGCCCCCGTTGGAGTTTTGTGGTGAATATCTGGAGCGCGGCGCGGAGCGGGGTGACCATCCGCGACCCCACGGACCACGCGAATCGGGCCGCCCCCCGCGCCCGGGAGATGGCGCACCTCGGCGCGACCAGCGCGCGCCCCCCGGACTGCGAGAGCCCTGCCGCCCCTTGTAGGGGGAGGATTTGCGGCCCCCCGCACGTCTTGGGGAGGGTGTCCTGTGGCGGCTGTCTTGGCTGAACGTCGGACTGGGGCTCCTCTCAGGAATTCAGCGCCAGGTTCAACGCGCGCGATTCGGCGGCAGCTTCCATGCTTGCAGTGTAGCTCTGGATCAGCATAGAAGCTGCATTTGGCAATGCGCGGGCACTCGCAGCGATCTTGAAGCGGGCAGGAGCCGCGCTTCGCGAAGGCGAAACAGAAATTTCGTTTGGCGTTGTCCTTCGGCGGCGGCCCGGAGGCTCGGCCAGCGGAACAGCGCCTTTCGCGGGCGTCTCTGCCCGAGGTAGAAAGTAACCGCGGAGGCCGTTGCGTGGAACGGCCGCCGGAGCCAGCGCGCAGCATCTCGCGCCGTTCTCCGTGCTTACGTCCAGACTTGCACGCCGCCCAAATGAGGGAATCGTGTCACGGATGTTGTGCTGGCTGCGTTCGAGTCGGCGCAGTTCAATGCTGACTAGAACACGTTCTCGGAGCCCGTCGCATGCACGCTTCGGGTCGTCGCGTTTCATATTGTTGTAGTCGTGCATGTCCTGATTCATCCATTGGTGTCTGCGGATCTGAGCTCGGAATAATGACTCGAGTAATCTCGCGTGGGGCGGTTCGCGGCATTCCAATAGTAAAATGCCCCAGTCCACAGCGAACCGTTGTAAGTCGTTGTCCCGCAAGCGGATCAGCTGTAAACGTTCAAAATCTTGCATCGTGTCGTCGACTGCGGTGGCTTTGTAGGATTGCAATAAAGTCCAATACATATGTCTACGTTTCAACATGCGGCCAACTTTGCGCCCCTGAGCTGCGAGGTTCTTGATGCGGTACCGGATCTCAACATTGAGGACTGTCGCGGGTCCGGCAGCCAGTGTACCATCTACGCTTTCTTAGTCACCGCTGTCCTGAGGGTCCTCAAAAGTAGAGGATGGTTGTTCTGCGATGCGTGGGAATGCGTAGGCCTTGGCAAGACGGCCAGAGGCGCTGCCAACGTTACCCCGAACCATATGTTGGCACTCTTGTAATAGAGTAGCGCGCGGCAGGGCATGCGTACAGTATTTGATTCTTTGAAAGAAAAGTGCGACAGTCTCGGCGATGGAAATGACTGTGTAGGCGACGACGCACGCGCGGGAGAAACGCGACGTGTCTGGGCGAACGCCGCTTCAGAAGCGGCGCCAGGCGACGCGCGTCGCGCGTGTCCAGCGCGGATGTTTCCATCGGCATGAGTTGGGACTCGGTCATTATGAGGTCCAGGAGGTGGGGTCGGATGGTGGATCTGAATGTTGCTCGCGCGGGCCGTCCGTGTAGCTTCGTTGATTGCGATGTCAATCTGAATCTTCTGGACACTCTGCTGTATGCCACGTATCTCGAGATTAGCTGGGGGCGCCGGTCCAGCCGATGCTCTAAGTCCTGGATTCGTCGGTGGCGCGCGTCTCGCTCCTGTTCCAAACAGGTGAGTGCATCCCCGGCCCGTGCCTTTTTCAGCGTCTCTTTCCTGGGAGATCTGGTTGAGCCGTAACTGCCCGTGGCCCGCCGCCGCCCGTGCCTCGGCCAATCGGGCTTCGAGGGGGGCGAAATCGCAAACCGAAGTCGGCGTTCCCAGCCGATCACTCTGGGCCCGTACAACACGCAACTCAGCCTGTGTAGTCCTTACTTCCGGTAACTGCTGCTCGACCGTGGAGGCCCGGTTCTCGAGCGTTGGCATGCGTCCCATCGGAAGCATCAAGACGTTGAGCGATGGCCATCTCGGCGCTACGCAGCTTGCCGCGCAACTCAGACGTGAACGTGTTTCGGGAGCGTAGGTTGGCAGCGGCCATCTCAACCTGGGCACGATGCGCATTGAGGTCCTCGCGGAGCAGTTGATACGTAGGTCAATTAACCTCCATAGCTGGGATCTGCCGCGCCGCCAGGAGCTCATCGCGCCAAGCGGCAGCGGTGAGTCAGGAAGAAGCTCGCCAAGAGCGGCCGCGAGCGGCGCGGAACTGCCTTCGCCTGAAAGGGGGGAAATGGGCATGATGGATTCCCTCGCCCACTCCGCGCGGTCGCTGCGCCCGCGCCCCGTCGAAGACGCCCCGCGCATAGAGGCACTGCGCCCCGACGGGTGCAGGACCGCGCGGCGGGGTCGATGACGAAGCGTGGCGCGGCGACGAAGAGCGCAAAAGAATAGGCTGGCACCTTGTGCGTATAGGTTAACGACCAAAGAGTCGAACCTACACGGTGCCCCGCAGGTAGAG